ATTTTTTCGGGGTTCGGGTGTTTTGTTTGATTTTAAATAAACAAAGTCTTGGCTTTCAGAATATGAAACTTTTATTTCCAAAATCACACGATAAATACATTTGTGAAGCTTGTAAAGGGAAGATGACAGGCACCTCTCAATCGCAATCTGCTGTTCCGTAGCGCAGCTCCCCCTCCCTCCGGCTGAAATTATGAATGTAAGGCATAAGTAATCATAGATAACACGGCAGGGTCCGTTACAGTTTGTTTTCATCTGATTTCAATTAAACAAAGTCTTGGCTTTCAGAATATTAAACTTGTTTCGGCAAATTTAGATGATAAATACAACTATGAAGCTTGTAACGGCATATTTACAAGCGGAGAACGGAGTAACTTAACGTCACAGCAAGCATAACAACAGCCGGTGTTTCTCGTGAGTGTTTTCCCCGGGAAACAAACACAATATACACTAACGCAAAAATACACAAACACACACACACACATACACTCACACACTCGCGAGCTTCCCCCAGACCAGTAATCCAAACGGAAATATTTTCCCTCCGGACTATTTTGATCATTTGCTCCGCTAATAATCAATCAGATCGATGGATTCCAGAGAAGAGGAAACTTTGAAGGCCTTTTTCTCAAAATGATGACTCGGTGACAGTCATTATATAATGTGACATATTTTGCTTAATATTTGGAGTACAACAAAAATCTTGATATCATTAGAAAGCTAGGAATCTCCTCTTTCCAACAGTGTATACAACTCAAAATGTGTCTTCGGGTCAATGCGACTGATTTCGATAGAGCAGGTCACATATGCTGAGTCAGTATAGATGTTTACATATTTTTCTTTTGATAGTTCTAATGCTGCAATGACTCCCATTACTTCTGCCAACTGTGCTGAAACTTTCCCTGTTACTTTTTCTGCTGCTCTTTCCTCAAAACCTCCCTCAGCTGTTTGACCCACCACTGCGTAGGCCGCTTGGGGCTCAGAGCCTCAGAATACTGAAATCTGTATTTTATGTCATCTTTTTTTCCTTCTAATTTGTTATTATTTGGTGCAGGCACGAAACATACTACCAATATAAATACATTGCTTCTAAAATCGTTCTGTGTCAGAATACTTAAATCTGTATTTTTTTAAATGTCTTTTTCCTTCTAATTTGTTATTATTTACATTGCTTTTAAAATCGTTCTGTGTGACACGAAAAAAATGGCGAAATCGTTTATTTCCATGCAGCTCTCTGATTGGTCTGGTGGTGTCTTGCCTCTGATGCATTCACTGAACACGGGAAATTACAATCCTGCCGTCCTCTAGGTAAAGTACGGTTAAAATATTATATTATTGAGGGAGAATTTGTCCGGGGCTAAAGAAAAACGACGCGCCTGACGGACACACTCGCTGTTTGAGGGCTTGATAAGTCAAAGTCAAAGTCAGCTTCATTGTCAAGAATTCTACATGTTGTACATCCAGAAATCTCGAAATATCGTTTCCCGCAGTCCTACAGTGTGACATATATACATCAAACAAAAAACAAAAAGGGCCTAGATAAACATGGTATACATTAAACAAAACAAAGGGCCTAGATAACCGGGGTATACAGTTTAAAATGTTAATAATATAATTTAACTGTTCAAAGTACAGTTTCCACTCCCCCTCCACACTCGTTGCTTTGGAACAGCACCTAATGTGGCGGACCCTGTGCGCAAACGGAGGGGTAGTGTGTAGGGATAGGGTGTAGGGGGCGGTTTGGAATTGGCCTGTGGCCATCAAACAGGAAGTCCTTCCCGCCATACATCCATGCAACACACTGGACTTATACTTCACCATCAGCAGCAAACACTTTAAAACTATTTAATAATGATATATTTTTAATACTGATACCCTATTGTATATATTGTAACATACATGTTATATTGTAGTACAATGTGCACATTTTATTTTAATATCATTTTATTCTATTTGATCTTTTATTGGACATTTACTTTTACTTCACATTAATATATTAGTTTAATTTATATTGTTATCGCAAATTATTACCTTTCATATTTATGTTGTTCTTTTGTTTTATTCCAAAATGGAGCAAATGTCACAAAACCCAATTTTAAAGTAATCAAATAAAGTATCGATTGATTCTACTAGCAGATTCATAAATTCCAAAACAATATAACGTCAACAGAGTGCTGCGTTTCCATTTTAGTGCTCTGATTATTATTATTTTATGTTGAAACATACATTAAGCCTCATGTTGTTGTTACAGACTTCAATACTGGACATTACTACCACTAACAGTCTGATATGAGACGTTTAGGAAACATCGGTAAATTGTAGTGTCTAAAATAAGTCAGTCTGATGTCATCACATTGCCTCTGAATATACAGTATGTTGCACATTTCTGAGCAAATGTCTGCACAGCCCTCCACTTTCAAATATTATTGGACTAGTTTGTCATACATTGTCAATTATTCACTGTCCTATGTTTTTTAGTGGTTTAGGTTTTTTTGCATATTTAAATTTGGTGTCAATAATTTTCTTTATTCTATGTTAATGCTAAATAGTGTCTTATAAATCATTTCTTTTTATTATCGTTATATTTCTTGACCTACTCTTACAACTTATATTCTTAGATTGTTTATGTTCGCACCACCATACACCAAAGCAAATGATTTGTATGTGTAAATGTACATGGCATAAACTTTATTATGATTAGGATATATTTTATATTATTTCTTCAATAAATATCTTATTCTTAATTAAAAAAAATGTCATTATGTAGGCAGGTGGCATTCTATACCTCTTTCTCTGGGATACTGTCAGCTGATGTTTATCTGTTACAGTTACTAAGCAACCAAAACCATCAAAACAGACCTAAACCAACAAAACCTGAGGAAGAGGAGCTTGATATGTGTTAACAAGACAAACAAGCTAAACAAGCTAAAGAAGCTAAACAAGATCAACACGCAAGTAGAACTGCCACCCTGTTGTTCATATTTGGACATGTTGATTTGGTTTTAATTGACTGCGCTGTACTGTGGGATCTGTTGCAATGAGCTAACATTTGATTCTTTAATTAAATTATTAATCAGAGTTTCTAAGTAATAGTCTAGTATATTTGATTCAGACCTTTTTATGAAACACGTTAACAACTATCGTATTAGAAATATCTAACAAACTCTGCATTTTTAAACGACAGCTAGACACATCATCTCGCTTCTTATTAGCGACACCCCCCTTTTAAATGGTCTTTTAGTCTTTATTTATTTTGTATTGTTTTATTTATTTGATAGGTTTTAACTGATATTATTTTAAAACTGTTTTATTAGCGACAATTCCTTATAACCTTTAACCTTTATTAATATTATTATTTCGTTTTTATCATTATTTTAATTGTATTATATATATTTTTATTTGTATAGGTTTTTATGTTTTATTGTATCTATTCATTCTGTCTTATTTCTTCCTTTATTCTTCTAAAAGGGGATCACCATTTATTTATTTGTTATTATACCTTTTACCTCCACCCTGTTAAACTGTTATATCATGTTGCTATGCTGCATGATTCCAAAAAGGTCGTCTGATCTGAGGGGATTCTTTGTGTGCCATTTTGTTAAAGCACTTTGAGCCGCACCTGGTGTATGCAATGTGCTATATAAATAAAGCTTTACCAGCTAAAACAGTAAATATGGTAAGGGTCGGTTCTCCAAATTATAAATCAACATTGTTTACTCACTTCCCTTCAGTGGTCTCTTTTGTCAGGTTTTTTTAAATGTCTTTTTCTGAGATGTATGCTTCCAGCGCAGATACATTGGAAGTATTTGTCACAGATAGACAACTAAGACATAATACATATATATTTTGTTTGCCTCCTGGATTGAAAAGATGGGATGTGTGGTCAAATCGACATTTTCAAGTAAGGCCGACTCAGCATGCATGTCCTGGGAGGTACATTGAAAATATGTCTGTAATTACTTTGAATATGGTGAATTATAATGGGAAATGATAAGGGCCACATTATTATTCTGGCCTCATCTCACATTTTAAGGCTTTTAACAAATCACTACAGTTTTTACAGTGCACTAAAGTACATTTCTGTTAATTGAGTTACTACAAAGTAATCTCTCTTTACTGACAACTAAACATGCACAGAGGGTCGCCCTGTCCTCTTCTACAAGACAGTGGGTGGGCCCAGAGGAGACGCTGGACCTTGAGATAAGATATCTTTTGCAAACTCTAAAGCCAAAAACAAATGTTCCATCTCAACAGTGCAGTTTGAGCAGGGTTTGTTTCTTACTTGCTCGTGGTGCACTGGTGGTGCAACTTCTACAGGTGCACGATAGAGAGTATCCTGACTGGCAGCATGACGGCCTGGTACGGCAGCTGCACCGACCTCAATCGGAAGGCTTTACAGAGGGTGGTGAAAACTGCACAGCACATCACCAGGACGGAGCTGCCATCCATGGAGGACCTTTACTCCCAGCGGCTCAGGAAGAAATCACTACGGATTATCAAAGACCCCCATCACCCCAGCCACAAACTGTTCTTTCTGTTGCCGTCTGGCAGACGTTACCGCAGCATCCTGGCAAAGACAAGAAGATTTGGAGACAGTTGCTTCCCGCGGGCAGTGAGACTGTTAAACAATTGAACTGCTGAAACAATTTCAAAACATTCATCTGCTACTCAGTAAAAATGTATCTAATACCTAATATATATCATTCCAATAACTTGTATATAGACTCGTACTGCACTATTCCACATCATCACTTTATTTTATAACTATTTTTCTTTTTGTATTGCTCTTGCTATCTGTATTGTTATTATGTTATTATGTTGCATTGTTGGAGAAGCCTGTGACATAAGATTTTCAACAACATAATTACTCTGTAGCTATGTCAGTTTGACAATAAAGAACCTTGAACCCTTGAACCTTGGAGAGACGTAGTTAGGTGATAAGGATCAGCAGATAAACAAATGTGTTCAATGACATTTATGAGGTCAAGAAAGACACACTGAGATCACTTGGATTCCTATTTATTTAAAAAAGCAGTCATCCAAAAGAGTTTACAAGTCACCTGGCTGTACTCAAATGATCTATAAGATCCCATTGCTGTTTAAATAAATTAAAATCAACAGTACCTGTAGACTGTGTTCAGTGTTGCTCTGCTCAGTGGCTTCAGTAGCAGTAGTATTTGCAGCTAACACTTCAGAATGAGGTTAGAATGCATAATAAAGCCTGGATTAGTGTAAACAGTTTCAGAATATGGCTGTTCGTTCCCTGGTTTCCAGTCAACCTCAAGTAAACTCAATCAGTGGGTACAAGTCATTTTTTAGATAACATTCATGTAATTGCCCCTTACCTTAAGTGTTATCTTTTCAGCCATATAATGACTGCTTCGTGCACATACAGACAGAGCTATAAAGTACTTAGTACATTTACTCAAGTACTGTACTTCACAATTTTGAGGGACTTGTACTTTACTTGAGTATTTTCAGTTTTTGCTACTTTGTACTTCTACTCCACTACAATTCAGAGGTATATTGTGTACTTTTACTCCACTACATTTATTGAATACCTTTAGTTACTCTGCAGATTTGGAGATATCATTATTAAAATGATATTCAACACTTCAATATGAATTTAGTTAAACCTGGTCAAAGTAATTAAAACTAGCTGCACCTTTACCAGCTTTGATAACACTTTAATGATCAATAATTATAAAACAATTGGTCAATTTGCATACTGGTTAAATAAAGGTTAAATAAAAAAAGTACTTTTGGTACTTTAAGTATATTTTGATGCTAATACTTTTGTACTTTTACTTGAGTAACATTTTGAATGCAGGACTTTTACTTGTAACATAGTATTTCTATACTCTGATACTTCTTCCTCCTCTGCATACAGGCTTCAAACACTCTCACACATCATGCTAAGATACAACTGTTTACAATGGAGCATGCATCATGTCACACTGCTGCTACACATCGCTCTTGATGTCCCGCTGGCCCTCGGGCAGGCCCAGGGGTTTGAGGGAGGAGGGGATGGGTAGCTGGTGCAGACAGTCCGGGAATGTGGCCGGGCTGAGCTGCCTCAGTATAGTCTGCATGGCGGTGAGGAGCAGCGGCGCCGGGCTTCTTCCGGACAGATAGCTGAGCGTCTCCTCCCCCAGCACCTCGCTCCATCGCTCCGGCTCTCTGCTCAGAGCCCCCTGCATCTTAAAGTGAACCTTTGGTATGAACATGAGCAGGTTGTCCAGACACTGCCTCCCCTCCCCGCATCTTGCTTCTTTACCCTCCCTGAGTTTCTCCAGAATCACATCGAGCGGGGTCAGGCCGTTGTGGTCCGGGGCTTGCGGGGCCGCTCCGTTCCCCAGCAGCATGATGACCGCCTCGGGCCGCAGGAGCTCGCAGGCTAGATGCAGGGGGGTCCTGCCGTCCTCCATGTGAAAACACCCAACTCTGTCCGTGTAGGATGTCGCGCTGGGTATCCGGTGTGTCTCCTGTAAGATGAGGCCGAGGATGTAGCGCCTGTCGTAGCGGACAGCCATGGCCAGGTGCGGGGCGGAGGACGGGCAGCAGCAGAAGCGCTCCCCGGGCTTTGCTAGCGCTTGGTCAGTGTACCGGCTGAGCAGGTACTTGGCGTACGCCTGGTGGTCGTGAACTATAGCGTATAGCAATGCTTCCGAAGAGGTATAACTCCTCTGGCTGGCGTCCTCCTGGTAAAAGGTCTGCATCGTCCGTATTTCCTCCAGCATCCACACCGGCTTCAGGTCCCGCACAGCCCGGTAGAAGAGCAGCGAGAAGGACTTGCGGTTCTTCCCGGGGCTCTGAGCCGCCGAGCTGACGGTGACAGAGGCCATGGCGACCCGGGTAACTTATGTCCTCAACGGGTTAGCCAGCAGACAGACAGCGTCCTTCTTCGCTCTGGAGCCATTACTTCAAGAGCTGTGAGTTACAGGAGCAGAACACACACTCATACTGTGTTTACTTATAAAGCACGGAGTGAAGACACTCCTGCAGTGCTGTCCTAAAGTCATTTCGCTCACAAGGAGACTGGAGACACACATTCCTGCACGCTCCTGACAGCAGCAGCTGGGGGATCCCTCTCTGCAGTACTGCGCTAGTACGCATGCGCAGAATGTAGCAACGTCAAAAGAGTCTTTGAAACTTTATTGACAACTGTGTTCAAATGTTTCCTGAAGGGTAAATAACAGACTGTACACATGTTACAAATGGTATGGATTATATCCTACTGTGTAGCGGTATATAATAATAATAATAATAATAATAATAATAATAATAATAATAATAATAATAATAATAATAATAATAATAATAATAATAATTATTATTATTATTATTATTATTTTGTATTATTATTATTATTATTATTATTATTATTATTATTATTATTATTATTATTATTATTATTATTATTATTATTATTATTAATATTATTTTGACTTCTAATTGTTAGTCTTATAAAACATGCTTGAAGTTAGAAATTATTCTCCAATTTTATCCTTTTTAATTGAAAACTATTTTCATCTGAAAATGTGAGGTGGTGTTAAATAAAATCTGAGTTGCCCCAAATGTAATAAATGAGCGAATTCTTTTTTTCAAATGACTTTTCTCAATTTTGTATTGATATTCTTTAGCTGAATATTGCCTGAATATACGTTGTCTAACTGCACAATGCTTGCTTGAGGCTGAAATATAATTGTAGTTATACATGTCAGTGTAACAACTAATCATAATAAGAATCATGGGGACAGAAACACTGCAGTGACAGGCTGGCTCTATCTGAAGAGGAATCATAAATGTACTGCTGATGATGAGGTGCCCTCTAGTGGCATAATACTGGCACACTGCTTGCACTCTCCTGATGTATGAAATCTATACATGGTCATGGTATGTCAAGTTTAAAATTTGATCACAAAAAGGAGTGAGTTACATGTGATGTTAAAGTGGAAGTACATAGCATAATATTTTAAAGTGGACCTATCATGCTATATTTAAATGATATATTGTAGGGCCATACCTATATAAGGTATATTTATACGTTTCTGTTTTCAAAATACCAAACAGATCATGCATTTTAGCCATGCCTCATTTCGCTCTATGTGCTGTTTGCTGTCTACGGGTCTGATTCTGCTGACCACGCCCCCCTGCAGGAGAGGGGAGACGTGCTCTGATCAGCTGCTGGGCTGTCAGAAGAGGGGGAGAAAAAGAGATCTCCGTCCTCCGTGTTTTATTATATAGAGTCGTTATTCATTTGTTTTAAAGCTCAATAAATAACAAAGAAGACCTTTGACCGGCACTTTTCTAATTTTGTCCGGAAGATTTAAACTTTAACGGACATCTTGACCGGCGAAAGAAACTGAAACTGAAACTCTGCCGCACGGTCCCCTCGTTCCTTGGAAGAGGCGGAGAGGTGGGTGTTTGTCATCTGCTGGTGGACTAACCGGAGAGAATTACAGTGCTTGCCTCGACGGGGAGGGATTGCATTGAATTAAAGCAGTGGGAGCAAACGCTTGCCTCGGGGAGGGAGAAAAAAAGCCACAGCGGAGAATAAACAGAAGGGTAACCATGGTAACTATGGGCGGGAAGTCTTCTTCGCTGCTTTTGTGGCAGACTACAGCGCCACTTACAGGCCTGGCATATGTACTACAGCGTCTCCAGCGCTTTCGAGTGGCAATGGCCGGCCGTGGCCCAACCCCACATTCCCCTGATAGGTGGAGAGTTGGCCCAATAGCTGTAGCGCCACTTCTGTGACGACATAGAAGTGTTCAAATCTGGATCAGTCTGTATCAGATCCGTTGCAGCCCCTTTTTTAGAGATTTGGGTATGGAGGAAAATAGAGAGGGTTGTGTTTTCTGACACTTGGTGAGTTCCCTGGAACACCGGGGACACATATTTATGTATAAAAGACGGACAAAAGTGCATTGTGCATGATAGGTCCCCTTTAAATATTGCAGTAACATGTGAAACTGTTCATCCCTTAATAGTGAACAAGGCTGTTGAGAGTGAAGAGGTGAGCAGAGAATACATGATCAGTTGGACCTCAGACGTAGATTTCTATCTCGTCGATAATTTGGACGTTCATTAAAAATGTATTTGAATGTACTGGATATAAACTGTAAACACTTATGACATTTATTAGAGTTAAAATGACATATTCTGCTCATTTTTGGGTTCGTATCAGTATGTAGTGTCTCTACTGTGACATGTCTCCATGCTTTAATGTTCAAAAAGCTCTTTATCTTTCTCAAACGGCCTTTGCTGCAGCACCTCTTTTCACCCTCTGTCTGAAACCAGAGCCCAGTCTGCTCTGATTGGTTAGCTGGACGGCTCTGTTGTGATTGGTCAACCGCTCAGAGATGTCCCGCTCCTTTTCCTATCACGTACAATGTGTGGAGCGCTAGCCAATAGAAGTGAGAGTGTTACATAGTAATGTCATTATGTTACAGAAGTAAAAAAGGAGTCCAATGGAGGCGTTTCCAGTGCAATAGCCCAAAATATACAGTAAAATGGCTATCATAAGGATTAGAAAATGATCAAAACACAATCAGTAAGTATTTCATGTAATGGTTGAGCATAACAATACTCTTCTCATTACCAAATTGGTCTTTTACAGTGTTGTCTTTTATTATTATTTGTGTCCATGCAGCATTAGTGATGTGTAGTAATCGTCTTTGAACACACTAGGGCAGCAGTGATCTATACAATGTGGACAGTGTATTGTGGATGTCCAAATGTTCTCCAAACAGAATCTAACAATATAACCTCTTCATCAGTCTGCTGCAGTTCCACACATCACAACGATAGTTACGTATGTAACTACAGTTCTATGAATCCTGGATGACTATGGGATTAGTTTTTTTTCATAAAGATAAAGCAACACTTTCTCAGAATCAAGCAAAACTAAGAGTTTAAGCAGGGTTCGAGTTATAAACTGAGCTCTATGGGGGTCTTTGAAACTAACGCGTGCGCACGCATGCACACACACTCAAACTCAAACACACACACAGACACACACACACACACACACACACACACACAAACACACATCAATCTGGTGCATTTTGAGGGGAAAATAAAGAGACTAGATCTATGGAAACACCCATATGAAACAGATGCCACATCATGTAGACAGACAGTCACCCTGTGTGAGGCAAACCCACATTTGCGCAGCGTTGCGTTCACAATAGCCTACATTAAAAAAAAAAAATCGCTAGGCCATCGGGAAACCTCCCGGCCCTCCCGATGGCCAGTCCGTGCCTGCCAGCAGCCCTCTACTTGCTACAAACTTAAATATGAAAACATAGCCGTGGGAACAAGTTTCAAATGGGGGGTGCTGTGGGGATGACACCAGGGCCGGTTCTGACCAATTTGCTGCCCTAGGCAAGATTTTTGCTGGTTCATTTATATCTTATTTGACCAGTTAACATTTATTTATCCATATTTTTTAATCTCTCCAGTTTTAAAGGATATTGTTGGTTTACTGTCCTATAGTATACATTGGAATGATTTCAAACCTGTTTTTATTTATCCTAATAATTATAAAGGTGTGCCTTGGAAATATTTGTTTACATAAATTGTGATAAAACCGTTTGAGACACACTGAGATAACTTAGACTAAAGTGAACTATCTAAACACTCAGAGTCCTTTACCTCACTGAACCTCTCAGGGCACATGGAAAATGTAACCGGGGTGAAAAGGGTGTTATCTTTACTTAATTATGAATGTGAACATCAAGGCCGAAAATTAGTTTTTTTTGTATTATATTTCCATTTAATCTTGTGGACGTGCAGATTCCCTGTCCTCCATCAGGGGGTGCTGCAGCACCCTCAGCACCCCTACTTACCACGGCCCTGTATGAAAAGGTTCAACTACGCACACACACATCATCTCGGCTAGCGTAGAGCCCCTCCTCCAACACACACGAACGCGCACATGACCAATGAGGGCACGAGATAAGTTTGTGCACAGATGGAAGGCTGACAGGCAGGTAGGCCATCCAGTTATTTTAGCCGGGCCGGCTAAAATGATTGGTCGTACTTTTTACAGTACTACGGCTTCCACAGATGACATTTTTTTATGGATTTTTTGTCAAAGCACTTAAGATATTCATTGCTATCGGGATGTTAAGAGCATTCCATGGAATATAACAAAAAGTGTATCTCGAGCCGGTTTCTCAAACTTACCTACCCAACCTTTAACGTAAATAATACTCATTACATTGACACATGCATTATTTGTGATTAAAATAATGGTTGTTGGTAATGTATTAGCGACCCCCACAGATGTATGATTTCACTGCGTCCGTGGGAGCTCAGACCCCTCCTTATGGGAGCTTAGCTCCCATTGGCTCCCACATAACTCGAACCCTGAGTTTAAGAGAAAAAAAAACTGAGTCAAGCTAAATAAATGTAATTTCAAAAAATATATATAAGTTGCAAACAAATCATTTGTGTAATCATGTAAACTATAAGTATTTTTTCTTTGTTTTAACATATCTTTTTGTTTGCAGTTCTCTTTGCTTCTTTCTCAATGATCAGACTTTTGCTCTCGCTGCAGATCTTCTCGTTTGCGCTCCTTCTTTTTTTGTTTTCGATTTTGACACAAACATCCCAGGTGGGCGGGACTTTCAGGGGTGCGTCCCCATTGGCTACTCAGTCTTTGAGTGACAGCCCACTACACCACAGATCATCAGTGCAACTCATGCAGAAAACTCCGGAGTCCACTCGGCCACGTTAGTGTTGGTGTGTCCTGGGGAGTTTTCATGGACATATCGGACTTATCTTATGGATTGCTGTGCATTATACTTGTGTTGTGTAGTTTATACTTTATTCCAACTTTAAATATTTTAATACCTGAACACACTGCTGCTGTAAAATAATTTCCCAATTTGGGATTGATAAAGTGTCTGTCTATCTATTTATTTATTTTATAGATAAAAAAAACACATCTATGTATTTTCAAGCTAAAGGTGATACACGATATAAACTGTATACTGTTATTGACATGTTACATTTCAAAAGCATATATTGCTATGTTTAGGACAAACAATTAAAGACTGCTTTAATTTAACAAATTCTACAATATAAAAGTGGCAGATTTGCTT